AATATATCAAACGACGCAACGCACCTTGAGTCGCTATGGAAACAGCCTCCTTGTATAATTACAAGGGTAAGGTCTGCGTACAACTGACCCCCCAGACCCCAACCTGTTTGGGAATATACTGGGTATGTTGATGTTGATAAAAAAGGTCCTTTGCCTCAGATACTTTATTCTCTTAGAAAGAAATCCTTAATTAAAGTAATCTTAATTTGTGGGTTATTTAATCCTAGTTGTATTTTGTTAGTGGGTTTTAGTGAATTCAGCTTTATGGTTGGCGGTGCCAAGAGACGTATGCAATATTGGCCAAACACCGTTAGCCATTTTGTGTGTTCTTTTTTTTTCTCATCTTTAATTTATTTGTTAGACTTATTTGCGTATGTAGTAGTGCTTGACATTATTTGTTGTGTGGTATTTTGTCCGTTGCGCTTGCGTAGTTTTCATGATTCGTCCCCACCTTTTTTTCTCCTTTCCCAAAATTTAGCCCACCAAACTTGGTCCAATCGTGCAATAACTTACTAAGAATATATCCGCAAGTAGCCAATCCTATGCATGAGTCTAAGTAAAAACCATAGAGAGAGAATTGTAACTGGGAGTAACAAAAATTGGTAAGAACTAGACATACCAGTCGTCTTGGTAATGAAGGAACTCGTTGTCATGATTATACAATATTCCTGGATATTTCGGATCTTGCACGAATTTCTGCACCGTCGATCGAGTGAAAAAACCAGAGTCTGGAGTCTTTATACGCCAAGAAATATTGCCCACGAGTTTGTTGGACTCTATATGGAACTCATGTAGTTGGCAATCGAAAGTGTCAAATGTGGGATTTAAGCCACTCGTTATAAACCACTTCCCGCTGAAATCATTGATGTTGAAATTCTGCACGAGCACAGCCGGATCAGGTGCGGGGAATTCACCTACGTCCGATTTACGAGGCACACATTTCTTTCTTGAAACTGCACACTCATTAAATTCGTCTACTACGCTATTTTCGAACAAGTCTCCACACTTTATCTGCAATTAAAAAAAAAAATAACAAGGGAAAAAAGAGACAGAAAATTACTAATGATCAGAATCAGGTTCCAGATTCATGACTGTTGTATTAGTTGCAAGTCCCTAAAGTATAGCCTAATCACAATTTTTCTTGATGTGTGTTTGTCTTAAACATTTTGTACTTCCACAGGAGGTATGTTAGTATCTTATACAGAAGTAATTGTGACTTTGGAAGAAAACTATAGCTTCAATATAATTTTGATAAACCACAAAGGTGTTTATTAAATTATGTCAGTTACCTGGCACTCGGTTTCATCGGGTCGGTTATTACAGGTCTGGAGACATGCAATATTAGCGGCACATGATGGGTTCGCAATGCACTTGGCGAGCTCCAATCTGTGCAAACATCACTTTTTTTTTTAAGTGCAGCATTTCTAAGTGAAAAAGAAAACAAAAACGAATATGATATTTCTAAGTGGCTCACTATGAAAGTGTCAATCATGGTGCTATAATTTATCCTTTTGACAGGTGAGATTCATTCATATAATCATGTACAGGATTATAAATGGTAAAATATAAAAGCAACAGTTGGAGTTTGGCGCGCTGTAGGAAAAAATGTTCCAAACAATATGTAGAACTTACATGGCTTTACACATCCTATGACAAGCTGTGATTCATTGAACATAAAAACTTACTAGGTTTACCAATTGGAAAGAACACAGCTTATGTTATTCAAAATTAGGTATAAAGAGTTGTTCAGGTGCATCGTCATCCTTTTAAACACAAGGAAATGAGATAAGAAAATGTAAGAAGATTTTTTTATTTTTTTATTTCCTTGGCAAATAGGCACTTTTGATCATTGGCACTGATGAACACAACTCCTTCATGTGTTCAACAAAACCCCATAATTTATTGGACTGAAGTACCTGCACTCCTTGAGTAAGCAAGTACACGTTTTCAACGCATCCACAGCATCAGCCTTTGGAATTATCACCAGTGCCATTGCCAATAAAATTGCCGCACCATTAACATAACCCCATTGCTTCCATGAAACAAGTCTCACCACCTCCCGAAGATTTATTTTCTTTCTGGTCTACAAAAGACTTATGTTAATAAAAAAATAAATATCCAATTTTATTATTATTTTTTTTTTAGTTATGAGTAGTTAATTCGATAACATGTTTTAGACTAAAAATATCCTTTCATATTTATTTTGAACAATTGCACCTCAAGAAGAAGGTGCTGTTTTGTTAAAAGAAAATGGGAATTTCATGCAAGCATAATTTTTGAAAGGTAATGAAGTTCTTCATCAGTAGCCACAAACCTAATAGCTAGTGTTTGAAAATTAATGCTCACGTGTATCATAAAAGAAGGGGATCGTCACAAAAAAATACGTCAGATCATTAGGATAGTTACAAAGAAGAACTAATGCCTTGAACAAGATCAAAAGATCATGTCATTTTAATGATCGAATTATACTCCTTTAACGACAAAGTCTAAACCAACTACCCTGAATCTAAGGGAATAATCTCTTAAAACACAACTGATTAAAGCTGTAGTTGTTGTAATAATCAATAAAACTAAGAAAGAAGTACGAGCTAGGCTTAGAAGTTACCTCAGCTATAATTGTGTTAATCCCACAGACCACCTGGGCATTAGTCTTTCCTAATGACAAGTCATTCAAACACCTTGGACAAAACCCTCCACAAAACTGATGCCTTTTTAGCAACTTGAAGTATTGGAAGTTCAATCTACCGGAACTCATCCTCACCGATATATTGCCATTAAGATAAGTGCGACCCCACTTATATCTTTCGCAACTACTCAGTGGTAATTTAGCTTCCGAGAGAATTCGCTCACCATATGAAAATATCCCCGAGCGCAAATGAAAAGCCATGTTTTAATCTGAGGGCGGATGAATGTAACACGACAATGTCAAATGTGCTTCCCAAAGCAAACTCCAGAAGGATCATATTTGTTAACAAGTAGCTTCAAAATGTAACGAGGATTACAGTGAATTGGGAGTACGCAAACAAGGCAAGGAAGCTTACAGCCACATGAAATTGAATACTACATTATTAATAGCACAAACTTTGAAGTATTTCATTTTTTTTTTTTTTTTCAGATTAAAGAGTGCTGAAGTGGAATAATCAGAATGCTAATTCAACAAGACAAGACACTTTTCTTCCACTCTGAATTCTTGAACACTACTCAAATATAGACATGGCCACGGGCTGCCGGGCCGGGCCATCCTGGTCCCAGCCCAGCCCGCAACCACCCGTAGGTTGCCGGTTGGGAGAACCGTCACCGTGGCTTTACGGGCCGTTTCTGGGTCTGGTTTTTTCTATCTTTGGTCCCAGCGGGCCAGGACGGGCTGGTTCACGGAACGGGTCCTTGGTTTTTGGCAGGCCGGTTAAGGGTCACCCATGGGAGGCACGCCGGCCCACCGGCCTGGCCCGTTGACTGGCCATCTCTACTCAAATAAGCATAACAATTGCAAAACAGAAGAAAACAAAAGGAAACAAGAGAAATTCCCAAAACCCACAACAAAAATTGTCCGTCACACTTTCGGGCTTTGCTTGACTATGCTTTTGTGCACAAAACCCTCGATTCAGACTTGTATTTCTTTTCAAGAATTCAATTTTGAATCAAATTTATAGAAGAAAAACTCAATAAGTCACAGCTTTGCTCGAGTAGACAAACACCCAATCAAAGAACATTGTGGGAACATAGGACGTTAAGCTGAGTTATTTTCATTTTAGATTGACTTGACACAATTGTGAAACTGATTGATTATACAAAGGAAACATCAAATTTATTCTCAAGAATATAATAAACAGAAAATAAATATAACACACAGAGAGGAAGTACAAAAGCCACAGACCTTGAACAAAGAGGGGGAAGCTTGTACATTTTAGTCACGCATCAATCATCATATCATATCGAGAGAGAGTGGGGGGAATGAAAGAAGGGTGACTGACGTGTGGAGTTGAAAGCTAGTGAAGCCGGATAAGGATTCTTGCGACTTTGAAGCCTGCCACGTCGCCTTGTGTGAGGCTTAATTAATATTATTAATTAATTTGAATAATATTATTTTTCAATAGTATAGTAAATAGGGTAAATAATTTTATGCAACCTATACTAATCGCGAATTTGAGATTGGCAACCTAAAGAATATTTTGTACTAAAATGCAACCTTTAATACACGGCTTTGCCTGTATCGCAACCTATGGCCATCGGCGGCTCGTTTTCCACCGGAAAAGCGAGCGTGCGACTCGCACGCTCCATTTTTTAGGGTAAATTCGCCATTTTATGTAAGTGACCGTCGGACTTCCACTAATATCACACATTGTCACTTGAATTCCCAAAATTCGATTGTTTGCAAAATTAGGGTTCCTCTCTGCGAAAGAAAACAAAACCTTTCTCTACAAAAAAATCCAGCAAATTCAAATTGATTGCAGTTGTTGTAATGGTCTGGAAAAAGAGAATCAATGATGAGAACATACCACCCGGAAGACTCTGCCCAGATTACGGTTTGTAACCCTAATTTTTAATTATTTCTGTTTATCTGTTGAATTTGGCCCAATTTTTTAAACTGTGAACATATTTTTGTGATTATGTGGTCCCGTATTGAATGTTGCGACAATTATTTTGAATGTGGCGACAAATCAGTTGATTATTCAAATATGAACATGTGAATGTTATTTGAACTGTGGTCCCTTTTTCGAAATTGATAAATTTGTTTACTTTTTTATTTAATTTTCATCTGAAGGGACCAGTATATTGATTTATGTAATTTTATTGTCCCCTTCAGGTCTAAGTTTACAACTTTTTACCATTTCAATTCATTATGGTGGACGATTTGTGGAACTTGGTGAGACATGCTACACTGGTCAGCACATGAGGGTAAGTCACATTGACTATTGTGACCCTGATGAACTGTCACTGATTGAAATATTTTGTATGGCTTCTGAAGCTGGGGCAGAAAGTGTTAGGTGTGTGCATTGCAATAAAAATGGTGTTAATGATTGCCGGAATTTGTTTGTCTTGCAAAATGATTTGGTGTTGTAAATCTTGTTAATTGGATTGATGATAATAGAATGGTTGGTTTATATGTGGAACATATGGAAGACTACATGGCTAGTCTACCTTCTGATTGCTTGCCTTCTGTTGATGAACCATTGGATTTTGTGGGGGATGATGGGGATAACTTAGATGAGTTTATTGATAATTGGACTGAGGAACAAAATGATGATGATAAGGGTGATGATGATAAGGGTGATGATAATGTGGGTGATGATAATTTGGGTGATTCTGACAGTGATTTTGAAATCCAATCATTTGGATCAGACTCTCAGTGTTCTGATGAGTTTGTTGAGAGTGATTGTGATTTGTATGATGAAGATGATATGATGTTTGAGGGTCATGTAGATGCAGATATTGAATGGGAAGGGATAACTAGAGAGGAACCTGATAGGGCAGATTTTGCATGTAGCAAGGGTAAGCAGAGAACTAAAAATGGCCATCCAACTTTTGATCCTCAATAAGACATGCAAAATCCACAGTTTGAATTGGGCATGAAATTTTCTGACCTGACCATGTTTAGAAAGGCAGTTAGAAACTTTGCAATTGCACAAGGTAGAGAAGTGTCATTTATAATTAATTTGAGCTATAAAGTGCAAGCAAGATGCAAAAATAAGTCATGTCCTTGGCTCATTTATGCATCCAAAGTTCATGATGAAGATACTGTGCAGGTTAAGACATTCAATGGTAGGCATAAGTGTCCTAGAAACCAAAAGGTGAGTCATGCTACTCCAAAATGGATAGCTGAAACTTACAAAAATAAGATATTAGATAATCCCAAATGGCCAGTAGATGCAATGATGGTTGAGATGCAAAGGGAGGTAGGGATTATTTTCAAAAGGTGGCAAATGTATCAGGCTAAAAAATATGTTTCTCAGATTGGTGTGGGGTCTGATTGTGAGCAATATGCTATGCTTTGGTCTTATGCTGAAGAGATAAAAAATAACAACCCTGGGACTACTGTGAAAATTAAAAGCAAACTTTTTAATGGGGAGCCACTGTTTAAAAGAATTTATATTTGTTGGGGCCCTTTAAAAAGAGGATTGCTTAAGGGTTGTAGGAGGGTGATATGCTTAGATGGTTGCCATCTGAAAACCACTTGTGGTGGTGTTCTATTGACTGCAGTTAGGGTTGATGCAAACAATTGTATGTATCCTTTTGCATATTCAATTGTTGAAAAGGAAACAACAAAAAACTTGGCATTGGTTTGTTGAACTGTTGAAAGCAGATTTGGGGATTGAGAATTCTTTTCTGTGGACAATAATGTCTGACAAACAGAAAGGGCTGGTAGATGACATTGAAAGTCTACTTCCAGATTCTGAGCATAGGTTTTGTGTCCAACACTTGTATGGAAACTTTAGGAATTCATTTAGGGGATTAGCACTGAAAAACTTGTTGTGGAGAGCATCCAGGTCCACTAGGGTTGTTGACTTTAATGCTGCAATGAAAGAATTAGAAGAAAGGGACAAAGAAGCTTTTGAATGGTTGGCTAAGAAGCCAGCAAATCAGTGGTCTAGGTCACACTACAGTTGCAACTCAAAGTGTGATATGCAGCTGAATAATATGTCTGAGTCTTTTAACTCACTCATTCTGAGAGCAAGGAGTAAGCCTATTGTTTCTATGCTGGAAACAATAAGACTTATATTGATGAAGAGGACATACATGAGAAGGGATCAAATGAGAAAGCATTTACATGGGAACTTGTGCCCTAAAATCATGAAGTTGTTGGAGGAATTGAAGAAAAAATCAATGGGTTTTATTTGTCACTGGAATGGAGAAGACTAGTTTGAAGTAGAGGGAAGCCAAGGTAGATTCAGAGTTCATATGGGGGAAAAATCATGCACGTAGGAAGTGGGACCTCACAGGTATCCCTTGTGAGCATGCAATAAGTGGTATGTTCTTGTTGAGCACAAAACCAGAGGATTATGTTGTTAATATGTACCATAAAGAAACATTTCAGAAGGCTTATTCTGAGATGTTGGGCACTCTTCAACCTCTTGAATATTGGCCAAATGTAGAAGCAATACCCTTGAAACCACCATTTATTAAGAGACTACCTGGAAGGCCAAAACAAAATGCTAGAAAAAAACAGCCCCATGAAGAGGTTTTGGCTGGAAATTCCAAAAAACAAGTTCAAGTGTTGCTCAGTAGGAAAGGAAGAAAAATGAAATGTTCTCTCTGCAAGAAAGATACCCAAACATCAGATGTTGCCCTTTAAAAACTGACAAGAGTGCACCAACTGAAGGACTTCCTATACCACCCTCTAATGAAGACAATTTTGTGGTCAAGGAGAAAAGGGAGTCAAAGTGTATCTGCAACTACACCAACAAGACTTACAAGAAGCCAAAGTGTCTCTGCAACTACACCTACAAGGTTAACAAGAAGTCAGTCCAAAGGTCTTACACCTACCAAGGAGTTGGTGACAAAAAGGACTCAAAACATTCAGGCTAAGAGCAAGACATTGGGATTGAAGAGGAAACTAGAGGTATTAATAATACTCATTTTGTTGTGATTTTTTTTCCTATGTGCTTCAACCTGTTGTAATGATATTATTTATGTATTAATAGGTGTCCAGGAAACATAATCCACTAATTCAAGGTGCAAGTTTTTCAACAGCAAAAGGACCAGCTGTGAACAAACAGGTGGTGCAATCTCAGCCTGAGCCAGAGATATTGGGAACATATTGGGTTACTACTGGTGGGAGCATAGTGGATAAGTAGTGGTTGGTTCTAATGGTTGTTGTTGGTTTTGGATAAGTTTGTTGAACTCCAGATATAATGGTTGTTAGCTTTTGGATTTAATGGTTGGTTTTGGATATATATTATGGTTTTGAACTCAAATACAATGGTTGTTAGATTTTAGTTCTTGACTGGGTGTTTTTGATGTTGGCATTGTAAAAACTGATTGGGAATATTGTTGGAATGGAAGAATTATGGCTATTGACATATTGTGCAATTTATGTTTTGTGTTATGTATGTTTTCTTATTGGATTTCTGTTTCTATTTTGGAATGAGCACACATCATGTAAAACATGTTACTAACATTCTAAAGACAGTCATGATCACACAAATAATGCAAAAGAGTTTAAACAACCAAAATGGTGTGTGATTAACCAAAAGAGTTTGAACAACACACCTTACCATTACCATTACAATCATAGTTTGAATAACACACCTTACCATTACACATTACATGATGCAAAAGAGAACCACAAATCTAAAATCTTAGAAAACACTACAACATGTAATATATGATCACCCAAGAAATAAGAATTACAATCCACAGCCAACGCTCACGAGCACTTTTTCTTTTCAAACACAATTCAAGATTGGCCTTTTCTTCCATGACATCTTCAATACAAGCTCCTGACTCTTTCAAATCAGATTGAAGTTTCTTCACATCAGATTGAAGTTTCTTCACATCAGCTTCCAATCTCATCACATCTACTTCAAGAATTTGAGTTTCACTTTCAAATCTGTTGGCACGTTTCAAAAGGCCGGGAATGATTTCACGAGCTCTAGGGCACAAAGGAGGTTCAATCAACGAAAAATATATACAACCACCATCATCCTATAATGTTCAGTTACAGAAACAAATTAATTTAAGAAGAAAAATCGAGTTTATTGAATTCGCCCAATTTTTTGAATTAGGGTTCACTGAATTTGCCCAAATTCATAAATTAGGGTTTCCTAAATTCATCACTTACCCGATTTTTTGCGCAAGTAATGTATCTCCTTCCTGGATTTTGAACACTCCACGATATTTTCGTAACAACATTCATCCCGCAATTGCATAGTTGAGCCATTGCCCGTCTGTCTCCAAGCCAATTTTCGTATGCGAAGAAGAAGAATGAAGAACAGGTAAGGTACGCGCCTTTTTTTCAATAAATCTGGTGAGACGATGAAATGACAAAATTATCCTTCAAATGTAAGGCAAAATGACGAATTTACCCTCAAAAATGGAGCGTGCGACTCGCACGCTCGCTTTTCCGGTGGAAAACGAGCCGCCGATGGCCATAGGTTGCGATACAGGCAAACCCGTGTATTAAAGGTTGCATTTTAGTACAAAATATTCTTTAGGTTGCCAATCCCAAATTCGCGATTAGTACAGGTTGCATAAAATTATTTACCCTAGTAAATAAGGCTAACTACTTCACTTTTTGACATAAATAATAAAAAATAGTAATACTTTTTTATGATCTATATTTTATATATTGATAACAAAAATATATATTTTTTTTTTTTTGGTACAATGAAGAAGGCCAGAGACCTTAGAATAAAATTAAGCTAGAACACAATGGAGGTAAGAAACCCCAATAAGATCATGCTGAAGCCATGCTCCCAGGCCAGTAGGGGGAGACGAAATCCAATGTAACCCGACCGAAGAAGATGCCGCTAAGCTCGCCATATGGTCTGCCGCAAAGTTTAGTTTCCTGTGAACGTATTGAAGCTTAACGCTCCATTCTCGATCTAAAAGACTCCGAATGATCTTTACCTGTGCTACATGGGTCCCAAACTGTCCATCGTGCCACTAACTAATAACAAAAATATTATAGCAAAAGGTATTTGCAGAAAGGTTAGAGCGAGCGAAAATTCTTCCTCCCATGGGCGATTCATCCCTCATGGCGCCTTGGCAAATTTGACCTCAATCTTTCCCTGAAATTACCACTAGTTTTATCAATTCTGTATCAAATTATTCTAGTACCGAATTGGTGGAGACTTATTTGAAAGAATCCCGCTGCTACTGCTACAGTGATTCTGCAACTTCTTCCCATGGGAAGATCAAAGAAGAAGCTCCGGTACCGGAAACTGACAGAGGAGGACTGTTCTGGCCACTTCAGTGAACAAGATGATACTTCCCAAGGGGATTCGGGTGATGAACGGGCCAGCATAGCTGAAACAGAAATGGACGCTACCTATAAATTGGCTAATAATGTTGATGATACTAATGGTGAGAATATTGAGAACTTAGTTGCAAATGAGAAAGTCAATAAGGTTATAGCTGCAGAGAACCAGGTTGGACAAATGGAGAAACAAAAGCAAGTGGCAAACCAATCTTTGAAACCGGCCCAAAAGGTGCTTGACAAAATGCCACAAAGAAATCCCGACTCACGAAAGAGGTCATTCTCGGCTCTCTTTGCCGACAACCGCAAGGCCTCTCTTGGTCTCAAACTAAACTACATTCCACCGGATAATGGGGTGGACCTTGATGATGATGACCTATTGGATGTAGCTAGCACGTGGGGCCATTGCCTAGTTGGGTACTTTACCCAAAGACACCCGGGCAAGGAGGCGTTGTTGAAGCTATGCAACTCATGGAAAGTCCAATATGACTACATCCCCAACGTTAATGGATGGATTGTCTTCAAATTCCGAAACGAAGAAGATAGAGATAAGGTTCTCCGCGGCGGCCCTTACTCCATCTATGGTCGAGGGCTCATACTCAAAGTGCTTCCCAATTGGTTCCAATTTGGTGAAGACGACATCAAGACCGTCCCCGTTTGGATCAATCTCCCCCTCCTCTCATGGGAATGTTGGAGTCCAAATGCTCTTAGCAAGATTGCCTCATATGTCGGTAAACCCATCACAACCGACAAGCTCACGGCCACGAGGGACCGATGCAACTACGCCCGGATTTTGGTGGAGCTCGACATCTCTAAGGAAAGAGTTTATAACATCCCCATCAAATCAAAAGGGAAATTTATGTTTGAACAAAAAGTAGAATATGAATATGTCCCACTCTATTGCAACCATTGCAAATTCATTGGACACTCTACCTCCAATTGTGGGAAGCATAAAGCCTACCTTGAGAAAAAAGCCGAGGGCAAGAAACCGGTCGAAGAAGCCGAAGCCTTTGCGACTACCAAGAAAGTGGTAGTACATCAACCAAAAGAAAAGGTGCATCAAACCAAGAAAGGGGGAAACACCAACAAAGAACAAGGGGAACGACACAAAACCAATGAGGTGGAGGTCGTAGAAGAAAAACAAAGCAAAGATAATCAAGCGAAAGAGGGTAATGGGGATTGTGCTACAAGGAAGGAAGCGGGGACCATTACTTCGGATGCCGGTTCTACCTCTCCTCCAACCGGGGACTTGGAGGCCCAAAACTTCGAGAACCCTCCTCCGGATAACGAAGGTGCCTCCTTCCAAGTGGTAGGGAAGTATAACAAGATTCTCACCCGTAGTGGAGCCGCGAGCCAAGCCGTCGCAACTACGAGTCAAAATTCTAGGATGAGAGACAAACCAAGCGGGAGACGAGAGGGAGGCAAGGTGAATTCGTCGAAGAAGGGGGGCCAACCCTCCTCCTCTCAATGATTATCGCCTCATGGAACATTAGGGGCTTCAACGGGCCCCTAAAACAAGATGAGGTGGTAAACCTCATCCGGAGAAATAATATTGACGTTTTGGGACTTTTGGAAACGAAAACCGACACTAGGCGGCTATCTCTCTTTGTGAATAGAAGGTTGCCGGGTTGGGTTTTTTTGCGAGAATTTTGACGTTGTTGACCGTGGGCGCATCGCCATCCTATGGAACCCCATGAAGGTTGACATCATGATGGAGGCCGCCTTGCCTCAAGTCATTTTTGCAAAAGTCCATTGTAAGGTGAGCAACCACTCGTTTATTGCTAGCTTCATATATGGACTTCACTCAAGAGGGGACCGAAAATTATTGTGGAATGACCTTAGGGGCTATCGGGGGAGGATCTCCTTACCTTGGCTACTTCTAGGGGACTTCAACGCTATCCTCAAACCGGAAGAGAGAATTAAGGGGGAGAGGGTCACTAACCGGGACACCATGGACCTCGTGGAAGTTTGTGGCGCTTTGGGCTTGTCGGACATTCCCTCAAGCGGTTTCTACCACACTTGGACCAACAATCATGTTTGGTCAAAGCTTGATAGAGCAATGGTGGATACTCAATGGGAGAATGCCGATCTATTCTCGCAAGCGACCTTCCTAGCTCCGGGTATTTCCGACCACTCTCCATGCATAGTCACTATTTTTGAGGCGAGGAACACTACCGGGTCACCGTGGCGGTTCTTCAATATGTGGACGGCCCACGCGAAGTTCTTACCGAGTGTTCATAACACTTGGAACCATGGTGGTGGAGGCTCGAGACAATTCCGCCTTGCGACTAACTTGAAGAACCTTAAGAGCTCACTTAAGGCTCTTAATGAGGAGGCCTTCTTACATATCTCCTCCCGGGCTAAAGAAGCGAAGAATGCCCTCAAGAATGCACAACAAATGCTCCATGATCAACCCAACGACCCCGAAACCAAAGCCAAGATGCCTTCACTTAGACTTGAAGCCCTTAAATTGGCCAAAGCGGAGAAGCTCTTTTACCAACAAAAGGCCAAGTGCAACTTTCAAATCAAGGGGGATAAATGCACCAAGTTCTACCATGGCTTGGTCAAAAAGCGAGCAAAACGGAATTTCATAGCCTCGATCAACCGAGATGACGGTACCATCACCGAATCCATGGAGGAAGTTGCTAAAGAGTTTGTGCATTACTACAAGGCTCTCTTGGGAACCG